TATCATGGGTGAGAAGAATAAAGGTGCTATTAATGGAAGTAGGAGGACTTTTATCTTTTTGGCGCACTCTTGTGGGAATATTGCTCTTAGTCTCTCTTCTCAAATTCAACCAGTAGAGTAAGAGGATTCTAGGATTTTTCTCTCTATTTGAATTAGAGATCTTCTCTCTCAGATCACCTGAAGACCAGGTAGGAACCAGGGTGGAGCCCAAGGAAAAGTAGGTATAAATGGGGCAGAGAGCATAGATTTCAAATGTTCACATGTGATCCAGCTCAGTTCACAAAGCAACTATATTGGGATCTGCAGCCAAAGCTTTAAATCCAATATCATAAAGCCCACATTTGCCTAGACCTTTTCCTCTGTGTGTCTAAAATACTTCGTACATATCTACACACACACACACACACACACACACACACACACATATATTGGGTCGGCACCTAAGTAATTGCGGGTTCCACACATATATGGCTTCAGTTGAATTTTTAGGTTTGCAGACGTAGTACAAATGTAAAACACATTTTGTTATTTGATAGTTGGCTATTCAGCTGTTAATCAGTAAAAAAAGTTTTTTGATCTGTTTTGTAGTTTTCGTTTGGCGTTCATTGAAAAATGGAAAATCAAAAGGAACATTTTGTCATATTTTGCTTTTTTATTTCCGCAAAGGGAAAAATGCATCGCAAGCTCATAAAAAGTTATGTGCTGTTTATGGTGACGAAGCCTTAAAAGAACGGCAGTGTCAAAATTGGTTTGCCAAATTTCGTTCTGGTGATTTTTCACTCAAAGATGAAAAACGCTCTGGTCGTCCAGTTGAAGTTGATGACGCCCTAATCAAAGCAATAATCAATTCAGATTGTCACAGTATAACACGTGAGATTGCAGAGAAGCTTCATGTATCACATACATGCATTGAAAATCACTTAAAACAACTTGGCTATGTTCGAAAACTCGATACATGGGTTCCTCACGAACTGAAAGAATCACAGTTAACGCAACGCATTAGCAGCTGCGATTTGCTAAAGAAACGTAATGAAAATGATCCATTTTTAAAACGACTGATAACTGGTGATGAAAAATGGGTTGTTTACAACAATATCAAGCGGAAAAGATCGTGGAGCAGGCCAGGTGAACCAACTCAAACAACATCAAAAGCTGATATTCATCAAAAGAAGGTTTTGTTATCAGTTTGGTGGGATTACAAAGGAATTGTCTACTTTGAACTCTTACCACCCAACCGAACGATCAATTCTGATGTCTACATTGAACAACTAACAAAATTAAACAATGCAATTGAAGAAAAGCGGCCCGAATTGACAAATCGAAAAGGTGTTGTATTCCATCATGACAATGCAAGGCCACACACATCTTTGGTCACTCGGCAAAAATTAATGGAGCTTGGTTGGGATGTTTTGCCACATCCACCATATAGTCCTGACCTTGCACCATCTGATTACTTTTTGTTTCAATCTTTACAAAACTCCTTGAATGGTAAAAATTTCAATAATGATGATGATGTCAAATTGTACCTGATTCAGTTTTTTGCTAATAAAAACCAGAAGTTTTTTGAACGTGGGATTATGATGCTGCCTTAAATATGGCAAAAGGTCAATGATCAAAATGGGCAATACATTACAGAATAAAGTTATTTAGTTCCATGAAAAAATTGTCTTTGATTTTCTTTTAAAAATACGCAATTACTTAGTTGCCGACCCAATATATATATATATATCTACATATATATATCTACATATACATATATATATATATATCTACATATATATATCTACATATATATATATATATATATATATATATATATATATATATATATATATATATATATATATATATTAGAGGCCCAGTGCATAAAAACTCATGCACTGGAGTGGGGCTGTCCCTCACCCTGGCCTGCCTCCTCTCACAGTTCAGGAGCCCTCTGGGTGGGAAGCAACCCCAGTGATCAGGGGAAAGCAACGCCCCATCACACCCCTGCTGCTGCCACTGCCAGCAGCATAACCCTTGGCCAGCCCTGGTTACTGGAGCCTCAGGCAGTCCTGGGCAGCTGGGCAGCCAACATCCGAGGCTTGCTTGTGCCTTGAGCCAACCCTGGGCAGCTGGGGGGCTGAGAGGACTGGGGGACTCTGGAAGCCGGTGCACAGAATGGTCAGGCCCATCTTGGGGCAGGCCTGGCCTTGCTACTCCTGCAGCCCCAGTGGGGCTGAGGGGACTGGGCACTGCCATCTTGTGGCTGTGGGTGCTACCATCTTTGAGAATGGGGCAGTCAATTAGCATATTCCCTCCTTATTGGCTGTGGGTGCCGCCATCTTTGAGGGCTGGGCAGTCAGTTAGCATATTCCCTTGGGGACTAGCAGTGATGACAAGCCATACCACCACTAAACCCTATTGTCCTTATTTGATGTGGTTTCCCCAGCTAACAGACTATGAGGCTGTTAAGAGAGTAGATAGACTCTTATTTTGTTCTTAAAAGTGTCTACATATTATACACATTCAAGGTGAATAAATGCCCTGACTGGTTTGGCTCAGTGAATAGAGCGTCAACCTGCGGACTTAAAGGTCCCAAGTTCGATTCCAGTCAAGGGCATGTACCTTGGTTGTGGGACACATCCCCAGTAGGGAGTGTGCAGGAGGCAGCTGATCAATGTTTCTAACTATCCCTCTCCCTTTCTCTCTGTAAAAAAATCAATAAAGTATATTTTAAAAAATTAAGGTGAATAAGCTAAAAAAAATTGCACCAATAATTTCTACATCTTCGTTTTCTTAAAAACTCATATACCAGGAAGAGATACTTCCCCTGTAAATTAATAAATTAAGTTCCTGATACAAACTTAATGTGAATTTATGATCCCAATTTTGACCAGGGTTGTATCACCTCAGATATGTTGTGTAAAAAGGTTCCATGCCTACCTACAGATGAGACATGTTAACCAAGAATCTACTACTCCTACTATTAAGGTATGAATCATCTTTAGTTATTTTTGTTCCCTTTTTGCTAGATGCTATTTTCTACACATAGGGTACACTCAGCAGAAGCTAACTGAACTTGGAACAAACTTTAGAAACTAATGATCTTAATTACATACAAGGCTTTGCAGTTTACAACTGCAATTTACCGTACACCATTCTCATTTGATCACAAGAATCCTGTGAATTAGAGCTTTACTGTAGAGATGAAGAAACGAAAACTCAAAAAGTTTAAGCCATTTGCTTAAGGTTTGAGAGCTGGGATTAGAAGCCTATGGCAGTGCTCTTTCCCACTGTAAGATTAATGAAATTGTCTCTCTTGTCTTCCAAAAGAATTCTTTAAGATTATATTGCTACACAAAAGTAGAGTGCTGTCTCTGAGTCAGTAAGAAAGTCAATATATAAGTACATTTCTAAGAACTATTGATTTGAATAATTTTTTCTAGAATGGTTCTTTGTTTTATAAGCCACATGTTTCATTTCAGTTCATTCAGCTTCCAGCTATGTATATCTCTGGCTCTGCATACAGCTGCTCTGTTTGGTCTTCTAAGCACTGATTCAGAGTTCTTACTTCTGAACTTTTATCTACTCTTTTTCCTGTTTACCAGGTAGCTCTGGGAAAAACAGTCAAGGTGGTTTAATCTGTGAATCATACATCTTTAATTGTCTCGCAGGCATTCTTGACAACCACCAGGGGGCAAAAGCCGACCAGCTGGCTTCTCTGTGATACGCTGCTTCTCCATAGGACAGACAGTACAGTACGCGGACCCTCGGTGTCTGATTCTCCATGGAACCGCCCTGCTAATTATGTCAAGCCCAGGGCCCCTGGGAGAGAACAAAGGCTCGGCGCAGAGGGCCCTATGGCACTTCCCATACAGAAGCCAGAAGGCGCTCAGCAGCCCTGTCGGGTGTAAAAGCAGCAACGGAGATCCCAGAGTCTGGGTGACAAACAGGAGGAGGTGGGCTTCAGTAACTGCACTCTCCGGAATGTGTTTTCCACAGCTTTGTTGTGCATGCTGGTGTTCACCAGAGCATCCATTCAAACGGAGCAATAGCTTTGTCAGTTTTCTCTGGGTAACCCATGGTATTTGCGTAGTGTCTTCTTTCTCCCTTTGTAATCCTGATGTTCCATTATCTCCTTGGCTTAATGGGCTGCGGACGGCTTGTCTTTAAGAATCGGGCTCCTTTGAAATAATAGCTCATCTGCATTTCACACGTGTCTACGAAATAATGAAATACAGAAACAAGGTGAAGAAACCTCTAGAAGAAAAACCCTGGTTAATTTCCTCCCAGTAGGAAGCAAGTGGCAGGTACCTGGCAGATTGGACCCTCAGCACTCGGAGCCCAGCCCTCTGGGCCTGGCAGGCGCCCTCAGCCTCTCTTTACCTCAGGAATAATGAATGAGTCCTTGACAGGGGCCCGGGGAATAGAGGACCCGGGGGGGGGGGGGGGGGGGGGGGGGGAAAGGGGTGCCATGAAGCGCCCCGGGGAATACAATGAAAAATCTTTCAAAAAGGCTCGTCCTAAGACATGCACGGGCTCTGAGGCAGAAGGGTGGAAAGGATGAGAGAAAGCCCGCGAGCCCGGGTCCGAGGAAGGTGACAAACTCGAGTCCCGCTCACGCCGGGTTGGTTTCCAGCCCGTAAACCCCACCCCCGCTCCGAAAGGGGGTCCGAGTCCCGCGGAGCCCGTTCCCCCCGGAGAACCTGTGTGGGCGTCAGGTTTTCACCTCAGTTTCTCGGCCCTGAGGTGGGGTGAGCCGTGCGCCCACCTCAGAAAATGGTTATCTGTGGGGAGCTGGGGCTCCAGCGCCCCTCCAGCCCCGGGCCCGGCCACCCCCCACCCGACTCCGTCACCCGCCGCCGCGGACTGGCGACGCGAGAGCCCGGCGCGAGGGCGGGACCCGGGAGGGGGCGGCGGCGGCGGCGGCGGCGCACTCTCCCGGCGGCTTCCGGCAACTCAGGGGTTAGCGCGGCGGCGGCGCGCGCCGAGGGGAGAGGCGGTTGCTGACAGGTGGCGCCTGCGCACTGGGAGCGCTCATTGTGCCCCGCAGCTGCCGAACCGCCCGTCAGCCCGCCCGCCCGCCCGCCGCCCGCTCGGTGCGTTGGTCTGCGAGAGGCCGGGCGGTGGGTGCGGAGCCTGCGGCCGTCCCCGCGGCCTCCTCCTCCTCCTCCCCGTTCCCTCCTCTCCCCCCCCGACCCTCGCACTCCTTTCCCCGTTCCGGCTCCGTCACCCTCCCGCCCCTCACACTCAGGACGAGAATGCCCTGCCCGGAACAGCCCAGCAGCGCCTAGATGGCTTTGGTCACGGTCCAGCGATCGCCGACCCCCAGCACCACCTCCAGCCCCTGCGCCTCGGTGAGTCTCCGCCGCGGCTGCCCGGCTCGCTTCTGTCACTGCGGCTCCGCTTTGCCTCAACGGGTCCCGCCGAGCGCCACTGCGCACGCGCCGCGCCGCTTCCCAGGCCTTGGCACCCGGCTGCCGCGAACCCCCCACACCCCCCATCTCCCAGGCGAGCCGCAGGAGCGACGGAACGTTGGTTTCTGGCCCCCTCGCTCTGGGCACCGAGCTCTCACAGCCCTCGCCCGAACCCCCCGGTGGCATGCTCTCCTACGGCTTGAGCACTTCCTTTCGGGAATGAGTCATTCTGGCTCTTCACCCTCCTCCCTCCTTTTCCCTCCGTTGCTTTGCTGCAGGGAGAGGACCATGGGACTCCGGCGTTGCCCCTTTTACATCCATCCACGCCCGCTTACCCGCACCCATGCCATGGGCCCGTGTTCGAGCACTGCACACCCTTCCGCAGGCTCGCTCTCTGCCTTCACCGAGTCGCTTGCTGTCTTTCCTGTGTTCTGTACTGTTCGGGCTTCACTGGACTGCTGAACGGTAGTTACTCCTCGGTCTTTTCCCTCCTTCAACTCCCCCCCCACCCCACCCCACCACCACCACCACCACCACCAGAGTGTGGTTGTGGTCTCTGCTTCTTGAACTTATCTTTTCCTCTGTATGAGAACCCCAAAAGCATCTGGCGCTGCATGATGACCAATGCCAATTCATTTACATCTTACAGACATTTATGCCTTACACTTACTGCTCATGATCACGTTTGTATGGCTCGTTAGTTCAGATGCCTATGCCAGGGAGGCAGGCTTCCAGCAGGAACATACCCAGTAGCCAGCCTTTTCCTGCTGGGCCCTTCTTCGCCTTCTTTCCTCATCCCGCCCCCACTCTTGTGCACACTATTCTTTTAGGCTTTGTTTTTGAAAATACTCTTTTTCTCCCCCCCAAAATAAAAGATTGCACCAGGCGGGAGAAATGGGATCTTTCATTGAAAAGTAATCCAGATGTTTTAGAGGGAAGCAGACTGAATAAAGCTATGGGCAATTGGGAAAACCGTCTTGAACTTCCTACAGAATTGTAATTTTTAAACTGTGTTAGTGGATTTAGTAGTTTAAAGTTGCAAAAAGATATTCAATAAACACTGTGTCACCTTCCACTGTAAAAAAAAAAATCAGCTTACTCTTCTGTTTATATGTTAACTGGCTTGTAATTTTAACAGTTTCCTGAATTGCAAAATTTTGTATACAGTGGTGGTTTCTTTCTTTTCCCCTTAAGCTTTCTTTTGCCTTTTGTGTTATCAAATTGACAAATATATCCTAATTCTGGAAGTGATTATATTTCATAGGTTAATTTACCTTGTGTTATTCCAGAGACCAGAACTAGGATCCTTGGGTAGAAGTTCAGGGAGGCAGATTTCTAATGATTGTAAACAAGAATTTTGTAACAATGGAATGGACTGCCTTGCAAAATAGTGAGTGCCCGTTGCTGAAAGTATTCAAGCAAAGTCTGGAGGCCTTTTGCCTAGAAGGTAATAGAAAGTATTCCTGAAATGGGGAGACTTCTAAGGCTTTTTCAAAGGTTCTGTGATTTGAAAATAATTGCCCTTCAAAGGTAGAAAACCGTTTAAGGTCCTCTGAACACAAGTGTCATGGGGATAGAAATTTAATATACAATACTTCATTATTATATATGGTACTTTATGCCAGTTTTTGGAAAGTCATTAACATACTGTCAGACCATCTTAATTTATTCCACTAGTGAACTCTTTGAGGATAGTGGTTGCCAGGATTGATTTTGTTTAAAAAGCAACAGAAGATTAGTAGAATCATGCAAATAAACTAGAACCCAGTATTATAGTGACATAATTTTTCTTGGTCACTGTTGAAAACATGTATGCTGTCATAATATATGAACATCAAGTTATCATACTATTTTTCTTGAGGTGAATGATTAGTATACATTAAGACTACATCTATGATTAAATTCATGCCACTTGATATGACTTAATTAGACAAACTTGGGTTATTTTAGAGTCTTTAGGTATGTTAATAGTCACTTTTGACATAAGTAATTAAATTAGTCATGTGGTTAGCTCACTTGCTGAGCTAAATGACTGATGTTTCTACATCTACTTGCTATACTAGCCTGGTTATTTCAGTTGTTTATATGTGGCCGAAGGTGTAAAGGAATCCTGGGACTGGGGTATGTGTGTGTGTGTGTGTGTGTGTGTGTGTGTGTAACTAAACATTAATAAATGATTGATGAGCCAATTACCTTTCCCTTTAAATTGTCTTCCCAGTTCAATTCATCCAAAGCTGTGTTCAGCTGAGTTGGCTCCTGATCCTTGTAGTCCAGCCTGTGTTTCAGTATGCTGTCTGAATTGCATATATTTGCTGTTGTATCTTTTGCTTTATGAATAGGTTGAGTTGTTGATTTTTTATTTATTTTTATTTTTAAAACATATTTTATTGATTTTTTACAGAGAGGAAGGGAGAGGGATAGACAGTTAGAAACATCAATCAGCTGCCTCCTGTACACCCCCTACCTGGAATGTACCTGCAACCAAGGGATATGCCCTTGACTGGAATCGAACCTGGGACCCTTCAGTCCATAGGCCAATGCTCTATCCACTGAGCCAAACTGGTTAGGGTGAGTTGTTGATTTTTTAAAAATGAGCAAAAAGAATCTGGAGGGTCATGAAAGGAGAAACTTAATTTTGTAGTCTGGAAATTTATATTTTTTAATCATAGTAAGCATTTTATTATATATTTTTAGTACAGGAATTTAAAAATTTTAGTAGTGTCAGTTTTTCAGTATTCTTTCATTAGGGATTAAACAAATCTACTGGGTGTGAATGATTATTATAGATATTAATATGTATAAGAGGTATACTCTATCAGGATCATGTAATCAGGATAGGATGAAGAAAAAAATATAAGGAAAGAGGATAGAGAAGGAGAGTGAGGGAAATGATACTGTATATACATGAATAGTCAGTTTGTAATGATAAGTATTGTCTGAATTCAGATTAAGGTAAATTCACTAATGGCAAAAAGTAATATCAATCTCTAAATCTCTTGGGCCTTTCTCTATGCCAGACATCATGCTAAGGGCTTGACATGGATTGAGTGACTCATTTACTCCTCACAATATGCCCCAGGGAAATTGCTATTATCCCCATCTTACAGATGGAAGAAACTGAGGCAAAGAGCAAATAAGGAATATGCTCAGTGACACTCAATTGCTGAAGCTGTAGTTTAAACCCAGATGTGTCTAAATAGAATCTGCCATCTTTTTCCTTTGTGGTATTCAAAGGGAGGTATACAAAATATGTGGCTCTTGAACTAGCCCTTGAATGATCGGCTGAATTTCTATAAGTTGAGCTGGAAGCTAGAAAGTAGAGAATATTCTAGGTGGAGGAAAGCTATTTATACCAAGACTTAGAGGCAGAAAAGTACAAGGCATATCTGAAGGACTTAGGCCAATTTGAGGAAGAATTTGGAAAGAATAATAGGCAATAAAGGCGAAGAGGCAGCTACACAGGGACTGCTGGTCTTAGGAGTGTGAACTTGATAGAGAAGATAATGCAACGTCCTCAGAGATTTTTGAACAGATGTGATCTCTGGTATTTTAAGAAAATTAATCTGGAAGCTGTGGGCTAGAAGGATTTGACAGAGGGAAAGGCCATGAGTGGATCCAGTTAGAGGATGTTACAGTAGATAATAAAGGCTTGAATTGGGAATGTGAGTGATAATGGAAAGAAAGGGACAGATTTTAGGGATTGTGGAAAGACAGAAAGGACTTGGGGATTGATTTGGTATAGGGAAGGAGGAGTCATAGATGCCAGCTCTAGGAATATATTGTTATTCCTAGATAATAAGTGTGTCCTAATTAATTGGAAATTTAAGAATTATCTTTTTCCCTCTGTTCTTTCTGCTATGAATTTTCAAAATGGATACCCATATTGATCTAGGGTCATACAGGACAGCGAACTGCTACAAAAATCTTTTAGTCTTCTGTAGTGCTTTATACTTCTCAGAATGTTTTTGTGATCATGATTTAAAACTATCTAGAGTAGCTTTGTAAGTTATGCAAGACAGGTTACCGAGGTTAAAAGACTCGCTGAGGGTTATAAAACTGGTTGGTGTAAGAACCTGAACTAGACGTAAGTTTCTTGGCTCTTGGTTACCTCTCTTTCCATGGAGTGATAAGAGAAACAGCATTAGTTTCTGATCCCGAGAATTTGACTGCCAGTATAGTAAAGAAACCAATACTTGAGATACAATCAAGAACTCACACTCTCTTTGGAGTTCATTTATATTGTAATCTTGAATACCTAGAACAGAATTATCCAACTCCGTGCAGATCATGTTTAGTTAATACCCTTATTTAAAGCCTTGGGCATTTAATTTCCTTAACTCTCAGAAGATTATAAAATAGGAATGAAAAGTGTGGCACTGCTACTAAAGACAGGCTCCTTATAGTTCTGGGAAATGATAACTGTGATGGTTTTACAGCAAGGGAGGAGGAAGAAAACCTGTAGATAGCTGTCCTAAGGAAAAACATAGCACTTACGGGCTACTTAATGTAAGGACAAATACCCACCTAAGATTCAGTACTCCCTCAGAGCTAATATTACAATATATGATCATATAGATGATCCTGAATATCATAAGAAGGCTTAATCTTGTTTTGTCTTGATTTAAGCAGTCAGGATTGAGTAAAGTATATTTTTAGATAGATGTTCATCCAAGTTTCATCAAAAATTTGATGTTTAAAATATACATTTTAATTAATTGGGAAATTTATTTACATATATATCTTATTTCCTGATAATGATAGATAAGTAAGATATTCTTGAATTATATATATTCAAATATGACCCACCCCTCTTTCCCTAAGCAGAGAAAATAAAATCATAGCAAACATGAAATCCTCCTATATAATAAAAGGCTAATATGCAAATTGACCAAATAGCAGAACAACTGGTCACTGTGATGCATACTGACCACCAGGGTCAG